GTTGGTGTGTGTGTGGGAGAGAGAGAGAGAGAGAGAGAGAGAGAGAGAGAGAGAAGCTGATGAAGCCACAGCGGAAAGAGCAGAGGAACCTGGAGTGAGATGAGGTTGGGGACATTGGCAGGGACCCCGGGAAAGAATTTGTCTTTATCTGGAGACTGATAGTGATCCAAGGAAGGGAGTGCAACAGGGTGCAGGTGGGGCTTTGCTCATGAGCGCACACAGGAGTCTGGGGTGGGAGCATTTATTTGGGATGTGAGAGTGGTTTCATGGTTCAGTGGGGGCAGCCGCCAGTCTGAAAGGGGCTGGCTGGTAGAGAGGGGGGGGGGAAACGAAGAGGGCGAGAATTTCGAGGTTTTCCAGAATTCTTTGGTTGTAAACAACAAGTCCATTTGTCCAGGCTTAAGTCAGGGAAGGGGGTATTTATTGAGAGGAAACAGGTGGCAGAGATGGGGCAGATTCTGCTGTCACACAGGAACTAGAAATTGGCCAATGAAGGGAATTTAAGACTTTTTATTCTTCATAGCACCTTCCCCCATGCTCCCCTTAATGTACGCTCTCCACGCCCGCCATGGAAGAGCCTGCGTTCTTCTCTCTGTGTCGACTTCTCTGACTGCACTGTGCACGATTCACTAGATGGAGGCCAAAGGCTAGTAAGAAGATGAGCCAAGATTTGAAACCAGATAGTGGGATTCTGGATGCCATGCCTTAAAGCCCACTCCATGCTGCCCCTCTGCAGACATCCGGCTTTGAGAGCCTTTGGTCATTGTAAGAGAGAGAGAAGGAAACTGGCACAGAGTTGGCGGAATTGGCATGACTGAGGCCCAGGGCCCACACCTGCTAGTACAGAGAAATGTCTGCAACCCCCTCGTGCCCCCCTCCCCTCCCACTCCTTCTCCTCTCCCGCTGCCTTTAGAAGTTAAGGTTGGGATGGAACATCAACTCCTTGACAGGAGAGACATGGCTCTTGAATGCTGCTGTCCCCTGTGATTTCTGCAGCAAATCGCTACCTTTGCTGGCTGTCAAACCACCACCTCGGCGGTCATGGTGCACTGCCTGCGCCAGAAGTCGGAGGACGAGCTCCTGGAGACATCACTGAAGATGGTAGGTGCCTCCACACAGGCCCGCCCCACCCTGGGAACTTGGCCTCAGGCTTTATCATCTCAGCTGCCCCATTTTCCCAGAAACACTGCCTGGGACAGAGTCTCCCCTCTCTGGAGTAATGGCACCCCTCAACCTAAATACGGAATTTCTTTTCTTCTCTTTTATTATGAAACTAGAGGCCTGGTGCACAAAAATTTGTGCACTTGGGAGGTCCCTCAGCCCAGCCTATACTCTCTCACAGTCTGGAACCCTTTGGGGAATGACCACTTACTAGCTTAGGCCCGATCCCTGGGGGATTGGGCCTAATCTAGCAGTCAGACATCCCTCTGGCATCCCGGGAGCCATCAGGGAATGTCCACTTGCCAGCAGGGAGCAGCCCTAGCTGTAGTTGGACTACCTTAGTGCTGCTGAGGAGGCAAGAGAGGCTCTCCCCAGCACTGCTATACCGGCAGCCGACAGCCTGGCTTGTGGCTGAGCAGAACAACCCCTGTGGGAGCACACTGACCACCAGCAGGCA